CGGGGGCCGGGCCGGGGGGGGCCGCTCAACTCCTGTCGCAACGTGGCTCCGCCTCTTTGGGTCGTTCGTAGCCTCCGCGCTGAACTGACACCGGCCTTGGTGTGACTCGAGACCAGGCCTCTTGCTGCGCGGGGCCTCCGCCTCCCCATCGGAGGTGTTGAGACGCGCTTTGCCATTATTATTATTTTGTGTGTGTCAGAAAAGTGGAAATATGACCCGAGTTAAAACTAGTGAATGAGTTATGGGAGGGGGGGTGTTTTCTGGCCTGCTCCCCCACACCGTCCACCTTCTGGTTCAGAGGTTTCATTAGCTCATTATTTATTATTCTGTTTCATTTCGGTCTGCATTCCCTCTGTGTTTTAGGGCCCTCCACGCTGTTCCTCCCTCCAGGCACCTATAATGCTGCTCTCGGGGCATGAAGGAGAAGTTTACTGTTGCAAGTTTCACCCTAATGGAGCAACTTTAGCATCTGCAGGATTTGACAGACTGATCTGTGAGTTTGTAATGATCAGTAGTTTGTGCTATGAGGGTGGTTTGTTTAAAAAATAATAATAATAATAATACACTGCTGGTGTAAACTGCTTTCCATTCATTCAAGTGCAATGGAGTGACTGAGCTGCTGAGAGCAATGGGGTGAAATGTTGACAGCAGGCCAGTAATGAGCTGTGCGCTTTTGAGCATATTTCAAAAGCGTTGGTAACCTCTTTAATGCCCTAAATCAGCAGTTCCCAACTGCTAGTCCTTGGACCCCTGCTTACCCTGCCAGGCCATGCCCCCAGCTCTGCTTTCTCACAACACTGTACTGTGGGATACATACTCACAGTGCTTTGCTCACACTGTCAATGATAGTGCCCTCAGCGTGAACATGCTCTGTCAGCAGAGGGAGCAAGTGTGAACACCCTCTAGGCAATTTTTGTTTTTATCAATTTTTGGGTGTTGATATACATTTTGTTAACAAAACTTGGTAATGTAGACATACCCTAACTCTTGTAAGAAGCCACATAGTATTGTTACAGTTAGAGCTCTGCAAATCCATGGATATCTGCTTTATATCCCCTGGTATCCACATCCACAAATGTGGATGCAGATATCTGTGACTCATTTTTATGAACGCAGATATACATTTTGGATTCCTGTTTGTATGAATATGGATTTAACTGCAACACTGTAGTTATGGGTTGCACAGCCATACAGGACTATAAAGGGATGAGAAATCCTTCTCCATAAGGACAGCTTGATGTGGGACTCCTTTCATATCCCATCTAATCTGTCAGCTCTCTACATTTAAGAAGGATACAAAATGAAGGGTATAGAAGAGTTAAAACAGTTGCTTCTATTTATGCTTATTCATAATACAGGAGCAAAGATGACATTCAGGTGTGTTGAAAGGAAATACTTTTCTACACAATGGATCATTAACCTCTGGGACTCACTGCAACAACATGCTGTTCAACCTAAGAATGTACTAGGGCAGGGATTGTCAACCTTTCAGATGTGACATGCCAAGATTTAATTTATTCACTTCTGTTTATGGATCTGTGTGCCACTGATACTTTTTGAAGTCAATAATAGTCCTATTTACATTTTAGCGGCTTCATTAATAAATAAATTAAGATGCAGATTTTTCTGTTTAGTGTGATCCTTGGTCTTGCTTTCCCTTGCTCAGTTCTCCTATTTCAGGCCCTATAGCAATCAGTTAGCCAGTAACTCTCACATTTAGGATTAAAATCCTACTGCTCATATGACTCGGGTTGTGGAACACATTATTAACCAACCGCCTCTGTCTGTTGATGGGGCGCTCAGAGAAGCGAAGTTCCCTGCACTTTGTCAGGGATGGTGCAGCAGCTGGCCTGGCAAGTGGCAGCTGAGGAACAAGTTAATAAGGGTGGCGGCCATGGGGAGACATGGGCCTCCCTACCCTTCCCCCAGATGAGGAGAACTTTCACATCTTCTGTTCCACATATTTAAAAACCTATTTAAAATGAGAGTTTGGCGATTATGCTGAATATTGTAAGTGCTTCATTTTAGTGAGCCCAGGAAGTGTAGCTGTGATGATGTGGGCGTAGAACATAGTTTTATGTGTATTTGGTTTCTTTCCAGTGCTATGGAATGTGTATGGGGACTGTGATAATTATGCCACTCTGAAGGGACACAGTGGAGCAGTTATGGAGTTGCACTATAATACTGATGGCAGGTAAATATCAGATGAAACTGACTTGAGCTGTCATTAGCCTACCTTGATGATGTTTCCAAATGAACTCTGTGAAATGTTTGGGGAGAGAGTTGGTATGAAAAGCTGCTAGATGAAGCCAGTAACCTTTGGATAAAACTTGTAAAAGGTACCTGCAACTGGCAAGTGGGGAACTAGCTGCTGGTGAATGTAAGTTGCTTTACAGCTCCTCTTCATTGCTTCAGTGCTCACCTGGTGGCTCTGAAGAGAAAAAGCAATGGTGCTCTTTGAATGGCTCCCCCTCCCAGAAATATCTCCACACGCTACGTCTGTTGTAGAGTGCAGGAGCAAAGAGTAGAACCTAAGTGGCAAGTTCCAAGGCTCATGGATGGGAAGCAGATCTAAAGCCAGGCGTCCCGTCCCATCCCGCCCCTAGCAAGTGAATCTGTGGGAAAGTGGATGGGAGAGACAATGAAGGAACAATTCAGGATAAGAAAAGGAAAACTAGGAAGGCGATGTTGGCAGCTTTCCAGATTATCCAATGCTATCTGAGGTTTTTACAAAAGAGATGGCTCCCCCTCCCCCATCATCCTGAGCAGGGTCAAGAAGATGAAATCCTACAGGCAGCTAGCAGACACCCCCTTCAGTAACTGGATTGAGGGGTACATTGAAAGTGGGATTTTTCATCATTATACTACCCCTTCCTTGGTCCTGCCACAAAACCCCACGCCATCTTTTGGCAACAGCCTCTGAATATTGACCCTAATTTTCTAGCTAGCAAGTATCCCCTTAATTTTCCAAGCCGGAGTCTGAGTGGTGTTTGTAGAGTAACAAAAGGGATTGGGGCAGATATTTTATCACCCTTCAGGATTCCATAGCTGTGTCACCTTTTCCCTCCGCCAGCATGCTCTTCTCAGCATCCACGGACAAAACGGTGGCGGTGTGGGACAGTGAGACTGGAGAGAGAGTGAAAAGGTTGAAGGGGCACACGTCATTTGTTAATTCCTGTTATCCTGCGAGGCGGGGACCCCAGCTTGTCTGTACCGGCAGCGATGATGGGACAGTAAAGGTCAGTGTTTTTGTGTGGAGTGACTCTTGCACTCATGGAGACTATACAAACTCTAGATGGCCCACCTAAATAAAGGTCATTTATTGTCATTGACCATTTAAAAATAACTAATTTAATAAACGTGAGAACGGCCATACTGGGTCAGACCAAAGATCCATCTAGTCCAGTATCCTGCCTGCCAACAGTGGCCAATGCCAGATGCCCCAAAGGGAGGGATCACAACAGGAAATCCCCATGTGATCCTCCCCTGTCACCCATTTCCAGAGAAACAGGCTAGGGACATCATTCCTACCCATCCTGGCTAATAGCCATTGATGGACCATGAATCTATTTTGCTCTTTTTTGAACCCTGTAAAAGTTCTAGCCTTCACTGCATCCTCTGGCAAGGAGTTCCACAGGTTGAGTAAAACTTGAGTAAAACTTTGTTCATTTGATACCCTCTTCGTCATCCAGATTTGCCCCTGAATCAAATCCCAGCCTGAGTCGCTTATTCATTAACTTCCTCAGTTATCCTTGAAATATTTTGGCTAAACAGGACTAGATACTTAAAAATAAAATTAGAATCCTGGAAAAGAACATGAGACTAAGCCTGGAAAATGGCTGGCTCCTTTTGTGAATCAAGGCTGGGATTTTTAATGAGATTTTTCTTGGATTGGAGCTGAGTGCTTCCAGTTCTGCCCTTATTTATGCTCCTGTAAATTCACTGGCTGAAAAAAATCAGCATTTAAATGATAAATGCTGTTCTCTTTCTCCCTGTCCCAAACCCCGTTACCAAGGCGTCATATCCATTTTGGAGTAGTCTAACCTGTATTATTAGATCCTTCTTGGGGCATGGAGTTATATTTATACATAACTGCAATCTGGTTTTTTTCCCCTTCTCTCCCCCCACTTGAAAACATACATATTTATGTCAAGACAACAGGTTTCATCCTTTCTGTAGGGATCCTCCACATGTGCTAGCCCCAAATTCAGCCCTTGAGCACTTTGACTGTGTGTAGAGGGTAGTGGGGACACCAGTGAGACTCCCTGGTTGTACTGTGACATGTATGATGTGTATCTTTTGCTTCCCCTGTCCTTTCAGCTGTGGGATATCCGTAAAAAAGCAGCTGTCCAGACATTTCAGAACACTTACCAAGTATTAGCAGTGACCTTCAATGACACCAGCGATCAGATTATTTCGGGAGGCATAGACAATGATATCAAGGTATGGTGACTGTTTTACTGCACTTCCCTTTGTAACAGTCCCAAACACAGTTCGTGCATTAGCCCAGATGCTGTTGTGCATTAGGGGCATGGTATGGTAGTGGGTTAGTCTTGGTGGTTATATTAATTTTGCAATCCAGTGTCAGACTTGCACATTTTTCCTAAAGAACCAGCCTGATTTGGCAGTATTGAGTGGCTGGTGATAAACTTAACCTCTGCAAACCCGGCTCCAGTTTCCTACCAGGACATTATTCTGTTAGGTCTGAGAACCACAGGCTGGTGCTAAGATTGTGTTTGATTTAAATGAAACACTGGTTAGCTCTTTGCTAGTTTAAGAGGTCTGCAGAAGAGTCCTTACATGACTCTAGCACAGCTGATGGTGATATCGCTTCTGAGCCTCCAGTCTCCATCTAATCTAGAGCCTGGACAAGGCGGTGCTAGCCTGGGCACTTCTGTGAGACTATTTGAAGCTTTTTTCCAGAGAGAACAGAGCACAGCCTCTGGATCCTTCAGTGTCCATCGTCTGTCAGACAGTTTGTCGTGGCTGAAGTTCTGATGGGGCTAGCACTGACCATGTGGTGATTATCTCCATCACTTTGCTGCCAGCATCCAATGCCTTGTCTTACTGCATAAAGCAGAGGCATCTTAGGTAGGAAGTATATGCAGCCATATGTCCCGTTCCTGGGACAGATGTGCTGGCTTAATCTCCTAGATCTCCAGTGCAAATCCAGCTCGGCAGTGAAGAAGAGTTGTTCACAGCTCGTGACTGTTCTGATCAGTGACCTGTGTGAAAAGAATTGAGGACTAAGCATCACAAGTTGCAGTATTATTTGTTGTAATTAGACTTTAGTGAGAAGTACCAACAAAGACCTGGTATGAAGGGATGGATTGCACCCTCAGCAAGTTCACTGATGACACTAAGCTAAGGGGAGAGGTACATACGCTGGAGGGCAGGGATAGGGTCCAGCGTGACCTAGACAGATTAGAGGATTGGACCAAAAGAAATCTGATGAGGTATCAACAGTGTACCCTTATAGCCAAGAAGGCTAATGGCATATTGAGGTGCATTAGGAGGAGCATTTGCAGCAGATCCAGAGAAATGATTATTCCCCTGTATCAGAGGCAGCAGCATGGGGGTGCAAATGGGAGCCAGTATGTATAGGAAGCAGACTTTTACCTCCCGGAACTGTGGACTGCTGACTCTGCTCTTGGAGAGCTGCCTCCCCTCCCCCCTGCATGTAAATGTGTAACGGCTGAAATTTTCAGAAGGGACACGTTTACCTGAATAAACGTATTTTAACATCTGTACTTGAGACAAATGAGTGGAGAACTTTGCGCTGTTGCTGCCTATGACATACCAATTCGGTGAATTCACCATCCAACAGCCACACTGCTTCTTCCACTCATATCAATCACCAGGGCTCGGTCAAGTAGATTTCAGCTGCGTGCCCCGTTCATTTGTGGCACGCGCGTGCGCAGTGTGGCTCTTGTGCATGCACAGTATGGGGCTGGCAAGAGGTTTTCGCCACCGTTTGTCAAGCCCTGTCAATTACATTGACAAGAGAACCAAATCACAATGCAGTGCATGTGCGTTTTTCTCAAAGGTATGGGACCTTCGGCAGAACAAACTGACGTACACCATGAGAGGGCATGCTGACTCGGTGACAGGCCTCAGTCTGAGTTCAGAAGGCTCTTACTTGCTTTCCAACGCAATGGACAATACAGGTAAGTCCTAGGATGGCAGGTTGTGGCAATTGAGTGCAGCTATGTAGGCAGCATTCCCGCTGCTAAGATCGAAAGCTGGTTACGGGGGAAATTGTATAACCTTGTGTGAGGAATAACTCCATGCGATTGGGTGCCACAGGAAAATGTAGGTTGGAGTTGTCTGAGGGACTGATGAGTGTGTATTGAAGCTTTAATTCCCGTTATAGTGACACTCTGTTTACAGTGATGCTTCTCGTGAACAGGGTGATGGCACTGGGAGGGTTCGTCATCTCTTCCAAGTGAAGCAAAGGCAACCCCAAATTGCGTAAGAGTGGAAAGCACTGCAGGCATTCAGGGAGGAGCAGCTCCACCTTGTCAGGACATAAGTCAGCTGACCCAAATCTATCCTGCTATCTCTGGTGCCATAATATTGAGCATTGGGAGAGCCGGATAGCTCACCTGACACACCAAGCATAGTGAATTAGTGATTCAGGGTTTCCCGATATAAAATCAACTCCAGTTTGGAGAACCTGGTAATGTCTTGGCCCAATGTACTGAAGGAAGAAAGGAATTTTAGCCTTTGCTCTGAATTTCTTGCTGCTTGTGGGTTTAGCCTAGAAATTAAGGTGGTTTGAACATACTTATAATAGCTTAACTTTTATTTCTGGTAATATATTTAAAACAAAAAAGAATTTGAAAGAATACTCATTTGTGGAGATGACCGCTCCTGTAATCAATTTGTATGGTAGTTATTATGCCAGAATGCTTTGGTTTTGATAGCTATGTGAGCATCCTTATGTAATCAGGACTGTCTGTTCTGGGTCATCCCATCTCAAGAAAGATATATTGGAATTAGGATTGGTATAGAAAAGGGCACCAACAATGGTGAGGGGTAGGAATGGCTGCCATATGAGGAGAGCTTAAAAAAACAGAGACTGTTCAGTTTGGAAAAGAGATCACTAAAGGGGCGGATGTGATAGAGAGCTATAAAATCATGACTGACCTGACAGAAATAAATAGGAAGTGTTATTTACTCCTCATAGCACAAGAACTAGGTGTCACCAATAAGGATGTTAAATTGTATTTAATCAGCTAATCGAGCAATCGATGGAATTTCCATTGAGTACTTGATTAGTCGATAACAGGGGAAACTGCAGATCCGCAGCAGGGTTAGCTCCTGGGGCTGGGAGCTAAACTCCACTGCAGCTCTGTCTTTTAAATGTACTACATTTAAAAGGCAGAGGTGCAGTGTCTGGGAATTGGGGCAAGTCAGGACTGAGTCCCGACTTGTGCCTAGTCCTCTCTCCTCCCCCTGGTCCCCCTGCGGAGACAGTGCTGGGGGGAACCAGCTTTTAAGACGGCTCCCTTCAGCACTGGCTCCTGCTCTCTTCCCTTGTTGCCTCTGATAGGCAGCAAGGGAAAAGAAGGGACTAGTTGAGTAGTGACTTGACCACCCAATGAGCCTAGGCTTATTGGGTAGTTGACTACTCACACCAAATGAATTAATATTTAGTGGGTTTAAAAACCAAGAAAAGTGTTTAACACAGCGCACAGTCAACTTGTGGAACTCTTTGCCAGAGGATGTTGTGAAGGCCAAGACTATAACAGGGTTCATAAAAGAACTAGATAAATTGATGGAGAATACATCCATCTAGGCATGGGCAGGAATGGTGTCGCTTGCTTCTGCCAGAAGCTGGGAATGGGAGGCTGTTCTGTTCAGTTCCTCTGAAGCATCTGCATTGGCCACTGTCAGCAGACAGGATCCCGAGCTAGATGAGCCAGTGGTCTGACCCAGTTTGGCGGCTGTTCTGTACTCCATTGCAGTTCGTATTTGGGACGTGCGACCGTTTGCCCCTAAAGAGAGATGTGTGAAGATATTCCAGGGGAATGTGCATAATTTTGAGAAGGTGAGTGTTCTGCCATTGGAAAGGCTGCTTGTGGATGAAATGCTCCAGCTGTCTAGTCATTTCTCAGTACATTGTTTTTTAAATTCAAATATACACTAGAAAGGATTTAATGAGGACTAAGGGCAAGATTAATGTGTAAAGGGGGTTCCAATTAAAGCTGCAGTAACAAGATTTCTTTGCTCAATTCAGCTATAATTAGTTGTAAATTAAACATTTTCTATGTTTAGTATCCACTTTGTGTAAAATAACAAGGCACTGGATGTTTCCAGCACTAAAATGCAGTCTTTTAACTACAGGCTTATCTTCCAAAAAGAGATAATTAAAGTGTTCTTCATGATCATTCCAATCCCATGGTGATTTTTATTTCAAGCCAAAGGGGAAACCAAAAACATCTCCTATTAATGGAACTCTGCATATTTATGTTTTGTTTCTCAGAATCTTTTGAGATGCTCATGGTCACCAGATGGGAGTAAAATAGCAGGCGGCTCAGCAGACAGGTAACACTTAAACATTGTGCTTTTGTCTGTCACCTTCTATCCCAAAGTGCTTCACAGTCACTAGCTGAGCCAGTGAGTTACGTTCTGTTAGACTCGTTTTTCGGGAGATGAGTGCAGGGGCAGAGCTGAGACTGAAGCTGCAGCCTGTCACAGTGTACTGCACTGCCTTCTGGGAAGGTAACACTGTGACTGTGGTTATTAAAGCAGCATACAAGACACGCTTCGAAGATGATAAAACCTGCAGCACTAACAGGATGGGCTTTGCAAAGGACATAGACAATGCCAGACCAACATGCTCATTTCTTGACCCAGTTGCAGAACAGCTGGACAAAAGGCATGTTCTGCAGAGATATCGGGAGACTTTTAGACCGTTGGGTATAGAGCTGTGGGAAGCTATGCTAGAAGCAAGCAATCCAGATGGCTTGCCTGTGAGTGCTTCCAGCTGGATTGAAAATGAACAGAGCAATCGAAGCAAAGGCTAATGGCTAGAGTAACTGGGTGGATGCGTTCAGTGGGGTACTCCAGGGATCCGTGCTTGTATTAACTATTTTTATTAAGGATTTTGAAGGATGAGTTAAATATGCATAAATTAGCATCCTCTGGGACTTTGTAGTGGAAGGTGCTGAAAACACACGTGACAACTGAGAAGTAAAACACAGGAAGCTAGGGAGGTCAAATCTGGGCATAAGAGACTGGCAGTTGCTGTAATGGATGCTAGCACAGCTGGAAGGAGCTAATCCAAACACATCAGTGACAGGAATTCTATGCAGCAGGGCTAAAGTCAATCAATGGCATAGCTTAAGTTGAAATAGCTTAATTCGGCTTTTGACGCTGTCTACGCAGCAGGATATCAAAAGGAAGAATGCTCCTCCGTCAGTTTCCCTTACTCCTTGTGAAATGAGGGTACAGGAGTCAGAGTAAAAAGTCCTCCAGCTCGCCATGATTTCGGAATAACGACTTGTGGTGTAGATGTGCACTGTGTTATATTGGAATAACGCTGCTGCATAGCCATTCCCTGAGAGACCTAGAGATAATAGCAGTCAGCAGATTAGATATGAACTTGTGCTGGAGGAGGGGGAAAATTCTGGTTCTAAATATCCAGCTAAGGAGCCTGAGAGACTAAGTCTACACTGGCACTTTACAGCGCTGTAACTTTGTGGCTCAGGGATGTGGAACCCCCCCTCCCCAGCCCCTGAGCACAGCAAGTTACAGAGCCGTAAAGTACCAGGATGAACAGGCTACAACGCTTGGAGTCGTGCGCCCCACGCAGGTGGCTACATCCCTTGTGGAGGTGGTTAACACGGAGCGCTGAGTGAGCTCTTTGCCAGCAGTGGTGCTGTGGCCTTGCTTTCAGTTTAAAGCACTGCCGTGGCTGCTGTAGACGAAGCCTGAGTAAGCTTTATGTGCTGCTGCATGAAATGCTAATGCTGCTATTGCTTAGCTAGGAGATCAGCTGTTATTTATTAACACAGCTAGTGTTAGGCTGGTCCTTGACTGGACAGCACAGCATGGTGACTCAGGATTAAAACTGCAAGCTGTTCCATGGGCGCTGGGTGAAGTCCAACAACCTGAAATGACCCAAGTGTGTGGGATCATCTTCCACGATGGGACAAGTAGAGACGCTGGATTCCGTACATGTCCACAGCTCTTTCTGCCTGCATGTCTGCAAGATCTTATTTTTAGAAGTCCTGGTAGGAGATCAAAATGAAAGTAGTCGTTCTGCCTCTTTGAGATGCAAAAGTTGGCTGCAAAGTAGTGATTGGCTTCCTGCTATGTTATATGACCCTGAAGATGGCTGAATTTAGCTGAAAATCCTTAGGGCTGTAAATTGACTATTTGCTGAGCCTTCAGAAACTTGTTGTGGTTAAAAGAAGCAATTAACAGAGCCTCGCCTGTCCCACAGCTTTAATAACCATATATAATGGAGAGAATGTTGGAGCAAAAATTTATCACAGCTTTCACCTACTAAGTTGAAATAGGGGAATTCTAATTTAAAGAGATGCTGCATTAAATAATTTTAAAAGCCCGTGCTTGTGTATAGCTATTTTCCTTGTTAAAGCGCTTTAATGAAGCGAGTAAAGTGTGGTGTGAATATGTATGCAACAGAGTAATGTTGCATTGTCAATAAACGTGGCGTTTTGCCTTCTCCCCCACAGTCTGGAAAGTGACTATTCCTTACGTTATACTTGAAAGAATTTCCCAGGATCTTTTTAGGGGGAGAAAGGCAAAATGCCACACTTATTGACAATGTAACATTAGTTTATGTGCATATTCTCTCTCTCTCTCCTCCTCCCCCACCCCCTCAATCTTGCTTTTGCTTAAAGTTGCCAGTCTGTTGATCACGCTAACTCACTGGCCAGATGGGTTAAGTGCAAAGAGAGGAGCAGGGCCTTCTCTCGGTCCGGACTGATGGTCTGATCTTGACGACACCCAGAGATTCATGCAAGACACCCCATCTCTTATAAGACTTTTCTCCCATTCAAGTCTACACATCTTGCTGTATCCGTTCTTAATCACCATTTTAACATCTGTTTGTCTGGAAGTCATTCTTCTTTGCCATCTGACATCAGTATGTTGGTGCCTCCTTCCCAGTGTCTATCTCAAGGCTGCCTTGTTTGTAAAGGGGTGCTTACCCTTCACTCCACGGCTGTCTGTAGTGTCCTTCGTCGGTCTGCGTTGTTTTGGGCCTCAATTTATGGTACTCTGACACCTCAGAGTCTTACAGCCTCTCCTCCTAACACTCACATTCCAAACTCATTCACTTTGTCCTCCCCAGGAACTACACAATTATTTCACACATGGGAAAAGGGATACCTTTTGTATGGACAATTGTATCCATATATTTCTAATACAAAGCTTCTGCTAGTACAAATTTTTAATTATTCATCATATTTTCTTTATAACACAGCCTGTATTCTGATTACTCCTAAGAGCAACCGTGTGATTGTGCTGAATCACAAGGAGCCCTTCTGATCTCTGTGTTACCAGATACAAACACAAGCAATCTGCCTGATAGATCTTCCTAAAGGACCTAGAAGACTGTTCTTCCCTGCTCACCAGAGAAGGGTGGCTGGCAGAGTTAGTTTAACATTTATTCTCATACTACCCATTTAAGCACATCTCATAAAACATTATAAAATTCTGTTGTCTACACTTACTCAGGAGATGGACCAAAAATCAGTGAACTCTGTGGAGCAAGGGGAGGGAGAGTTCTAAGAGTTGTTAACGAAGTACTAATGCCAAGACCCGATACTGCTCTCGGTCCTGTGAACCATGTAGAAAGCAATAGGCTACCAGCTGTAACTGAGAATGTGTTGAATCCCAATGACTAATACAGAAGGCAGAAGCAATGGCGTGACTGAGCTTGGCATTTGGATCTCAGGCTGAGTTTGTAGGGCTGGCAGAAAAGACTTAAGAGCACATCTGATTTGGAGAGAAATAAACATGCAGAGACACCTGTTTCAGACCAGAACAACACTGTGGGTTGCATTCTGCAATTTTTCTTGTCTGGTTGTCCTTTGTGCCCTCATCCTTTGCAGTGTCCCTTTTGATGGATACAGCAATGCTCCTAACTTGAGAGGAGTTGAGCCAGTCTTCTCATGCAGCCTAGCCAATTACCGCAACATCAAAACTTCCCCCCCAGCTAGCAAGGTTAGTTTGAGAGGCTGGTGACGTCCAGAGAGAGCTCTTCTTTCAGTTAGCATTTCTGTTCCAAAGCAAGAGAGAGCAGACTCACTTTAGTTCCTAGCTGGCAGCTTTCCTGAGCCCATTTCAGTGAATTCTTTAAGAGGTGAACCCTGTAACGAATGGTTTCACATGCTAAAGCAGTTCTGGCATGTTTGACAGGAAGTGGTGCACACGTCGTTTATAATCTTCCGCTCAGCGATCTTTCTCATTCTGACTGTCAATAAAGCCCCTAAAAATTTCACTGTAGCTAAGGTCAGAACACGAGAGAAACTGGGGCATTAGCTGAGCAGCTAGTCACTCAGCCATACTGGTCACAAATGACACACAAACTGTATTTGCAATAATGTGTTTGCATTCTTGGGGGTAGCATGACTTGCAGTTGCCTTTTTTTAATCTGCTTAAGAGCTGAACTTCTCATACTTCCAGAAGTTAGTTTCTGACCCAGAATATCCTTCAGCCAAGGAGATGCAGCCAGGCAGGCCCCAGAAATGATGCACGCGAGGGCAGGAGACAGATTAGGAAGCGACCAACGAAAGGGAGTTGCCACCTTGTAAACTGCCAACTGGAAGTGAATCCTGACTTTGTTACCATGTAGGCAATGGCAATCCAGCTCCAAACGGCAGTAGCTGTGACGGATTGAACTGTGCCAATTGGCTCCGTGGGGAAGTCAGCCCTTCCTCTCTGGAGCAGCGCCTCTTTCAGGAGCAGTGCTCCTCCAAAGCGCACTGATGCTGATGGAGAGCAGCTGCTGCGGGGGGCTGGGGTGGTTTGGCAGCACACAGCTGTGCTACACGCCAGTTTGTCACAAGTGGTGGCAAATGCTGATGTGCCACTGACAGTTCAGGATGAATTTGTAGGCAGGTGGATTGGTGAGCTGGGGTTTTCCTAGGACGCTGGGGAGGGCGTCTCTGCTCCTCCAAAGCGAGACGTGCCCGCCGAAGCTCAGGCTCTCAGGCTGCGTCTCATCCACAGGCTGCACAGCCAAGCTCTCGGTGCCTTGTGCTAGCCTGCTGGGGCTTTGGCGCTCAGATAAAATCCCCACTGCCACCTCTCCTGCCCATCCCGTGTGTCACTTCATCCCAAGCTGTTACGATGGCTGTAGAGAGCCCCTGTGACCTGGAATTCCAGCCATCTGCCTTCTTGTCTGAAACCCCCTAGGGCTCTCAGCCCTTCACAGGTATAGGCCGAGAGGCTTTCTGTCTGCCTGGGCTGCTGCTCGCTGTCTAACCCTGTCTTTTGTCTGCACCTGGTAACGATACACTTTTGTCTCTGGAGTCGTTTCTTGGCATGTTAAAGATGGAAGGCAATTGTAGCTATTAAAGCGTAATGGGAAATGAGAGTTACTGGGAAATCAAGACAAATTGGAGGCTGAAGCGGGAGGTTTCTTTCCTTTTTGAAGTCCTGCCCTCGGGAAGCTCTCACCCTCGTAACGATTGTGTCTTGCAGGTTTGTTTATGTGTGGGATACAACCTCCAGGAGAATTCTCTACAAGCTGCCAGGCCACGCTGGCTCCGTAAACGAGGTGGCTTTTCATCCAGAGGAGCCAATTAGTAAGTCTTGTTGACTTGTCACGACTCTCTAGTCTTCTAGGGAAGTGATGTGGAATGCTGCCGGAGTATTTCAAAGCTTTATGCGAAGCGCAGGCCTCCCCCCGAGCCCAGGAGAGGGGCATGCTGCTGTAGGCTTTCTGTGAGGAGTGAAGCCGTGACCTGCAAACAGCCTAATAAACCTTCCATGCATTCCTTCACCTCTGAGCTGAGCTCCCCCTGCCCCAGGACTCATGAACATAAAGGGGGTGTGCCCGGAAACTAACATTGCAAGTGCATGTGGGGTGACCTTTTTATTACTGCTTCTTTAAATGGCCTGTTTCAGAAGGTACCAGTCCCCCGGTGGAGGGTGGTGGAGGGGAGGTCTAGCCCTATCTGCTAGATGGTTTCAAAAACTGTCATCCCTACACCATGCCCTCTCTGCTTGTGCCAGCACTGAGAGCTGAAACCATTCATAACAGCTGTTTCTTAACAGTCTTTGTAGTACAGACAGGTCCTCTGGGTTACACTGTTTCCATGGAAACACAGACTCATGGTTATCATGGACTGGGTTGCCCCTTTGCGTTGGCCAGGAAATTCACACTAGTCACCCCCGTAAATGCATTGTTCCCGGGAACGAAAATCTCCACAGAAGGTTGGGTGTGGTAATTCAGTGCCAGGAATTCATGAGTTTGTCCCTCAGTTATTCATTGTTCTGTCTCCAGGTCGGAGAGGTGCTGGAAGCACAGAGCAATCTCTCTCTGCACAGAGGAGGCTTGTTGTTTGCAATTGCATGCAGCTAAGCACTATTTTGTGAATCATTCAGTGATCTGGAAAAATAAAGCAGGGATCTGTCCCCTCCATGGGCAAAGGTTTGAGGGTGACTCATGTTAACATCAAAGGGAGCTAACCTTGTAAGCCGCTCCCTTGCTCACAGATCCCCATGCTTCTGCATTGGAGGCACACAGACTTCTAAAGAGGGCTGAGATTAGGGGCCTAAATCAGTCATCTTTAGATAAGATCTCTAAGGGTACATGTACACTGCGGTGCTATTTTGGGATACTTCGGTACCTGAAATAGCTATTGCACATCTTGACTAGGGATGTAAGCGACTAATCAGGTAGTTGACACACTGGTCAACTAGTTGCTTCCCCTCCTTGCTCCCTCTATTCGAAAGAGGCAGCAAGGGGAGGAAGAGAAGGGATGCTAGGTGGAGCCAACTTAAAAAGCCGGTTCCCTCCAGCTTTGGGGGGGGGGGCACAGCAGCGACTAACCTTGCCACTGCTGGGTCTCTTGCACATTTCAGAACGGAAGTGCCCGCATGGAGCCTGGGGTCAGTGGAACTCCCCTTTGGCCCTGGGCTCCATGTAGCGTTTCAGTCTTTGAAATGCTCGAGAGCTGGGGCTCTTGTACATTTCAGAGATAGCACGTGCTAGTCCTTAACGACTAATCAAATAGTGGATGGATATCCCATCGACTGGTCGATTAGTTAATTGAAGTTTAACAATCCCTAGTCTTGACCATGCACCTGCTATTTCAAAATATCTTTAGAAATAGTGGGCGCACTATTCTAATGTCCCTGTAAACCTTGTTCCACAAGGATTAAGGGACATTTTGGAATAGCAGTTTCATAATGAAATAAGCTCTGCAATTTGTGTAACTCAAATTGTGTAGCTTATTTCGAGCTCAAGGTGCACTGTAGTCGCATCGTCGTTGACTTGCCTGGGAACCTGCCCTCGGTAATGGGTACAGCAGGTCTAGAAAGAGACTCGCTGCATTTGAGATCTGTGTCGTGAAGCCACTGAATTCCCTCATCTGAATTGAAGATGATGGGGTGATGGCTGAATCGGTTTGCTTTATAGCTATTGTGGTAAACCAGCATACTGGCCCTTGGAGACTTTTGATAGACATTCCTCCCTCTAGTGGCTAGTGCTCTGAATTGGAGTACTAACATTTCTGGAATCTGAACATCTTTTTGGCAAGGAACATACATAACGGCTACATCTAGACTGGCATGATTTTCCGCAAATGCTTTTAACAGAAAAGTTTTTTTCCGTTAAAAGCATTTGTGGAAAAGAGCGTCTAGATTGGCACAGACGCTTTTCTGCAAAAGCACTTTTTGCAGAAAAGCGTCCGTGCCAATCTAGACATGGTTTTGCACAAGAAAGCCCCAATCACCATTTTCGCCATCGGGGCTTTTTTGCGCAAAACAGTTTTCAGCTGTCTACACTGGCCCTTTTGCGCAATAGCATTTCCAGAAAAGGGCTTTTGCCCGAACGGGAGCAGCACAGCATTTCCACAAGAACACTGACAATCTTACATGAGATCGTCAGTGTTCTTGCGGAAATTCAAGCGGCCAGGTTGGTCAGTGGGAAATTTTTCCCCCAAAAGCAGCTGCTTTTGCGGAAAAACTTGCCAGTCTAGACGCAGCCAACATGTTTGACATTTTATAGCTAATTTTAAGGAGAGCAGCAATAACAGTGTAAACATTTAATATGTCACTTCACATGAAGCATGCCTGCAATTAGAACTTGGAATAGAAAAATGTGTCAGGAATATGCAAAATGTGATTAGCTGTCAGTAACCGAATAATTCTGACCAGCATGCTGGGGAGAGAACCGTTTTAGTTCGAAAGTTCCTTTATAGACATGAGTGAGAGCAAGAGAAATGGGCACTTAAATCCAAATGGGGGTTAACTCCTCTGCAGCTGAACTCTCCACAGGCTCTTAACATTTTGATTTTTCTCTCTCTCCCGATTCAGTACTCTCTGCATCTAGTGACAAAAGACTGTATATGGGAGAGATCCAGTGATGACGAGACGATAGCTTAATATTTGACCTTGACATCTTCGGTTTACAGAAGTAGAATTGAATTGCTTCGAACCAGTGCCAGCCCCTTCACACACGTGGCGACCACCATGCCAGCTTCATTTGCAGAGCAATATTTGTCTTAACCGAGCAGGCTTCGGAGAAGCACTCTCTGGATGCTCCTCCAGCAAAAAGGAGGGAGGAATTTTGGGGAGGGGAGGCGGTAGGAATCATTGGAATTTTTAAGATGTTTCTTGTATTCCCAACTTCTACTGCTGAAGAGGTTATTGGCCATTGCCAGAATCACTTACTGCATTTTAATACGTGTCAACAAATGGTAAGTGATTTGTATATTTCCTGTCCACTTTCTCCGGGTTGTTTTTGTACAAACAAACTAAATAGATGACTGTTTATAAGTATTGTGACTGGAATTTATTCATCTATTGTTCAGCATTAAGTGGGGAATGTTGCTTTAATAGAATCCAGGGAAAGAATCCACTTCATCTTCAGAGGAGCGACTTTATTTTTTATTTAGAGCCATAAAAGTGACCACACTGGAAATAATTATCTGGCAGCCACTGAATCCTATTTTCTTGTTTTGAGTAAAAACCGGCCCAATGCTATAAACCAGTGGTCCCCAACCATTGGGGTTGCCGGGCGCCAGGGGGCACCGTGTTGGGGACCACGGCTATAAACGAACTTTAAAGAACAGCAGTTTCTAGAACAACGAATATTTAGTACTCGACAGCCAAAGGAACCAGCCCCTTCCCCTTAGCTGCAGTTTCTGCAGAAAGAGGGGTTTGGGGTTTTTTTGCGGGGGATGGGTCCAGACCAGAATGAAAGAGGCTCCGCCCCGCCCCCTTCCTGCATGTCTCTGCCTGGCCCTCCTGATGGTGGGGGCAGCCTCTTGACAAGGTGCCTTCAATTCTGACCCCCAGCGGGGGTGAGTGGGGTTCCCTCTTCCTGCAGTTTCTCTCAAGTGAATGGAAGTGTCTCTGCAGAGCATCTCTGGCCTGCTCTGAGCCGCTGCTGTGGCCTTTGAGCCAAACCCATTCTTTCCAGAAGTGCTGCTGTCAGCATTTCCCCAGGCTGTGCCCATTCTACCTGCCCATCCCCGGGGTGCTGTCCGGGGGGGGATGAGCAGGTATAATATTGGTTTTATCCGCAGGGCAAGTTTTTTGGGTTTGTAAAGCAAAAATGTCCTGCCTGCACAAAATCAACCGACTCCCTCGTTTGTGTGCTCTGTTCTGAGCAGGGCTGGGGCGTGCCCAGGTGGGTTTCCCTGTCCCAGACAGCTTTGTGCCCCTTGCAACGACCCCCCACTTTTCCGAGCAGGGTCTCGCACGAGGGACCTGGGCTCCCTTCCATGGCACATTCCTCCCCCGGAGGTTCTGCTCTGGCCAAGGGGCGGCTGTTCCAGAAGAAGCCAGAGCTGAAGCGTATGCCTGCACTCAGCCTCTGCTTGTGGGGGGGAGGGTTCTGGAGGGAGCCTCCGGTGCCTGAGGGAGCTGCTGGGAGGCGGGCCAGCGGGGGGCTGGAAAGGTTAACGAGGGTGCAGACAGCACAGTGCAAGGTTGTGAGAAGACGAGTGGCTCTGTGTAGCTCACAGCCAGAGCCCAGCAGCCTGCTGCTCTTTCATCAGGCGCTCGTGGGCTTTGGGGCCCGAAGGGGGGGTAGAAGGATCGAGTCTGGGGTGGGCGAGAGAGCCCGAAGGGGGGGTAGAAGGATCGAGTCGGGGGTGGGCGAGAGAGCCCGAAGGGGGGGTAGAAGGATCGAGTCGGGGGTGGGCGAGAGAGCCTCCCTGGGCTGGATCCAGCCTGACAAGCCGATGGAGCCAACCTGCAGCTGCCCTGCCGCTCGCCCCTCCCCAGGCCAACTGGGACCTGGGGGTAGGGCTCCTCCACTCCCAGGCCAATAAGGTCTGTGGGCGGGGGAGCATGTGAAGTCTCCTGTCCCCACCCCTTCTGCCTGAGGCCCCGCCCCTTCTGGGGCAGCCCGTGACCATTTCTGAAATTCACGATGTAGCCCCCCCCTTCAAAAATGACCGCCACCCTGATGTAATCTGACCCATAGTCCATGGGCTATGGAGCTCCACCAGGCCCTTACTACATCCAGCCCAGAACCTCCACATGAGCCATGGCAGATCTAGAGCGGTTGGGTCTCGGCGGGTCGGTGCGTGACCTTTCCAAGCAGCGTTTACATCCTCAGCGAGCTGTTGCAGAGCGCTCTGGACAAATGCGCTGCCTGTGCGTTGTCTGGGCAAGTGATTCCCTTTAGGCTTATCTGTAGTTGGAAGAGCTGTGCAGCAGCTCCTGAGCGGCGGCTGAGAGGGAGGGAGGTCTCTCTCCCCGCCAGCCACAGCCCTGGGGCTGGGGAAAGTCACCTCTGTCAAATTCCTCCATCCACTCTTCACACCCCAGCTCCCTGCACCCCACCTACCTCCTATTCCCCCCTTCAATCCACTGCCACCTACCCCCTATACTCCCCAAGGCCCGTCGTGTGTCTTCTCCAGGGTCCAGGCGCCTGATCAGTGGAGCTGTGAACAGCTCCAGTGGTGAGGTGGGCGGCGCTTCCTTCGCCTGTGTGCAGCTGCCCAGGCACTCACCTTAGGGGGAACTATCCGCCAACCCTGCATGGAGCTTGCCACCGTTTGAGGAGCCTCTGTTCTAGAGAGGGCTGAGCTTGCAAGCGAGGGACACGCCACCTCATCCGTAGCCGTGGCCTGCCGAGGGGGCGGGGGAAGCTGAGGGAGGAAAAGACAAAGGCCCTTCCTTGGGGAGTGCTGCGTGCGGCACCGTCTGTGTGCTGAGCGCACAGGGCCCTGCTAGAGCCGAGTAAAGCCAAGTGGGGCCCAATCAGCCAATTAACTGCCAGTGGGGGAGGGGTGGCCGGCGGGGGCAGGGAGCTAGAAGCAGGCTGCCTGTGAGGGGCAGGAGGGGCTCCTGTAAAGTGAGGAGCCTGGTGACAGTGTGGGGGTCAGCAGGGAGGACGCCGCAGTCCCTCAGCCTTAGGTGGGGGGAAGCTGCAGTCAGACGGAAGCCGGGGTGAGAGCAGCAGCTTGGGGTAGGGCCAGACTGGTCCCTGGACGGCCCCCAGAGTGCAACATGGGCCTGACTCCCCCGCAGAGAGGTGTTGTAAAGGGCAGTGGGGACGAAGCCTCCCAGAGTCACTGTGGCTCAGCAGGGAGGACGCCGCAGTCCCTCAGCCTTAGGTGGGGGGAAGCTGCAGTCAGACGGAAGCCGGGGTGAGAGCAGCAGCTTGGGGTAGGGCCAGACTGGTCCCTGGACGGCCCCCAGAGTGCAACATGGGCCTGACTCCCCCGCAGAGAGGTGTTGTAAAGGGCAGTGGGGACGAAGCCTCCCAGAGTCACTGTGGCTGGCTGGGCGGGCCTG